CATTTCTAACTGTAAAGTGATAACTGGCTTTAGAGAAAGTTACTTTGCTAAATCATTTCACATAAAACACAACCCCATGGTTTATTCTAAGGCGTACCATGTTAAAGACATAAATGGCTGGTCTTTATTTGCACAGGGGCAAACTAAAGAGGGATGTCACAGTGTTGTTTGGATTGCTTCCTGTCTTGTTGCTAAATAGACACAGATTAATTATGAATCAAAAACCCGCAAACACCCACAACGTTTAAAACTTACTGGTGATTTATTTCATGTTGCTTCACATGACCTTTCTGTCTAGATCCTTCATCCGATTTAGAAACAATCACAGTCTTGATGCAGAATAAATCCAATCCTAGGGTCACAAGATAGACCAAGAGGCCTTTTTCACAGCAGACACTTAGACTTACCATATGAACAGCGACTGCTACTAATAACATTTCTAAAGATGGCCTTCCCCTCAAGTGTCCCACTATCGCTATATTTACACCTGTGTTGTAAATAGTTGTCAAGGTAATTAGGGTGAAATTATTTAAAATAACAGAACACATCACATTATGAAATATATTCCAACAGTCATCATAAAGGGAAATCTTCTTTCATCATACACCAACATCCATAATTAACTCAGTTGGTTTGTAGACAGGCAGGAACTCAGTGAATACAATGAGCAGCTGTTATCTATGGTGAAAAAAAACAAAAGCTATATAAAATATGTTTACAGATATTAAAAATGAATGAAAGCGTTTAGAAATAAAAAGCAACAGAGCGAGCCAAAGAGAAACACTACAGCCAAAAAAAAGCATAAGGGTTAAGACCAGCAACAACCCCACACTGTCCAAAATTCAAAGAATAGAAAACATAAAGTAAATGAAGGCAGACATTCCAACATTTATCATTAATTTGGTTGTTGTTTTCATTTTGTTTTTGTTTTATTAATTACTATTTTTTATCAACCAATATCCTGTGAAGTTTTAGTTTTGAGAATTCAGAAATGCATGTAAGGATATAATCATGAAAAGTCACCCGTTATAGCAGAACTACAAAAATCAGTGTTCCCAGATCAGGAAAACCATGTCTATAGGAAGCAATGAACATGTAGTGCCATCTGAATATAATATCAACTAAACTAATTATTTAAAAAAGCATACACATTTTAAACTAACAATAAAATCTGTCTTGTAGGTAGGACGCCTTGTTTGAGGAGGGACAACCACCATTTCTTCATCAGATAATGCTCAGCATTCAGTAACGCTTAAGGTAAAATTCCTCAGATCAAGAGGGGAGCAAACTTTTTCCATAGAACAAATACTTGTTTCCATAAAATTAGAGTTGCCCTCTGGCACAGTTTTTTATCAGCTGAGTGGAAACCATTCTGGATCTCAGTGGGAGTCCTGTGACGTAGGAATCCACCGAATCATTCATCAGCAGCTCCAAAGGAGACACGCAGGGAGCAGGGAGGCAGAGCAAGGGGAGGAAATGCAATCACATCAAGTCACAGTGGAATTGAGAAATGCACATTCGGGCCCCAGAGTGTGTCTGGAGAACAGAAACTCTCTTCATGCTCATCAACTAAATAGGCACTCTGACTAATGTTTGACTAATGGTCACCCAAGACGTACACAAGTTAGTCCTGACCGTCCTCCTCTGGTTGGACAAGCAGCGAGTCAGCCTAACAGCCACGATGACCTTTGGATCCCGGTCTACAATGTCCCCCTTTCTCCTCAGTCAGAGGGGACCCTTGTTCGCCGAGTAGTTCCCGCTTGTGCCATGCAGTTACTGTCCAGGAAATGTAAAAAGAATTTCGTGACACTGCTGTGGCTGTTGTGTCACTTTCCGGTCGTTTTGCTCCGACACCTATTCACAGCGTCACAGTTACAAGAGTTGAGTTATGAGGGGTAGTCATCAGTGTCTTCAACCTGTCAGTGAAAGTGTTGTGTCACTGTCTCAGCATTTGTGTTTTGTGCTGCCATTGTCCTCCGTTCAATGGACATACACATAAATCACTCACATTTCCATACGTGTAATCTCTCTCTCACACACACACACACACACACACACACACACACACACACACACAAAATACAAAGACTAACAATTGCAGACTCACATGAATGTGTGCCCCATCCCCACACACGCTCACATTTTTGTCCTCGTGGGGACTTTACATTGACTTACATTCATTTCCAAAACACTTATTCTAACCTTAACCATAACCACTACTTGCCTAACCCTGACGCTAACACTTAACCTAACCCTAATCTCACCTTAACCTTAAACCATGTTGTCAAAATTCACATTACATGGAGGGGACCTGCTTCTGCTCCCCATGAGGAAGGCTGAGTCCCCACACTGTGAGTGTGGTAACAGGTTTTACTCCCCACAGTGTAATTAATACCAAAGACGCACACACACACACACACACACACACAGTGCCCTTTAAATACCACATCTTCCAACCAGACAGTCCTTAATCCAAAACACCACAGACAAAGAGCAGGAGACAAAGTGTAGAGAAGCAGTGAAACACAGTAAAGATACCACAAGACCGAACGATCAAGAGAACAGTTACAACAATACTGAGTTTAGATGAGGAAGGATGCCGTGTAATAATGGCATGTGAGGACAGTAGGCTTTAAATCTCTTTGGCTGCAATCACAAGCTAACACAGGCCTATATATGACACAATTCTGACAAGCTGTTCTCTGTGTAGAACTGATGTGTGCAGCTCAAATGCAGCTTCTCAGCGGATGGCATTGTCCTTCTGTTATAGTCTGTTCTCGTCCAGGCTGAAATATCTCAACAACTACCGGATGGATTGCCATGAAATTTCGTACAGATATTCATTCTTCCTAGAGGATGATTCCTGATGACTTTAGTGATTTCCTGTATATGCACCAAGAGGTTGAGGCTTTAAATGAAATGTCTCAGT